AAAAAAAGTAAACTTTTTTTTTAACTAAAAGGAAATGCACTTGCATGTTTAACTTTCCACAGGATGAGAAAAGACTTTCTAAGCACAAAAAGACATGAAAGGGAGCCAAAGAAAGGTTAGGAGACTTGACTCTCAAAAAACCCCAATCTATTCTGTGTTAAATAACATAAACACAGTTAAAGTTAGGCATTTCAGAAGAAAAGTATTTTAAAAACCTGTAACAAATGGCAAATGAGTTTCTATGTATGGTGATAGATAAATAGACAAATGTTAAGACCCCAGAGAACAATGGGCAAAGGCTGAGAACGCAGGTCACAACAAAAATTCAAGCAGCAAATAGGCATGAAAAACTGTTGGACTGAGCCAGTAAGCACAGAATTGTCACTTGAATGAGTTGTCACCTCTCCCCTAATTTCTTCCCTATCATTGTCAGCTGATAGTGTTTGGTCAGAAGATAGGTATTGTCATATTTTCCAGATAGAATCACAAATTGCTATAGACTTCTCAAGAAAGCCATTTGGTAGTAGAAATCGAATGCCTTGAAGTTCATACCTTGGGGCCCAGAAATCTATCCTAGACATAGACATAAGATTGTTTTTTTTTTTTTTGGTCAGTCATTGGGCTTGAACTCAGCACCTGGGTGCTATCCCTGAGCTTTTTTTCCGCTCAAAGCAAGCACTCTACCACTTTGAACCACAACTCCCCTTTCTACCCTAGACATATTATTTGATTCCTGGGCCGTGTATCTTATATATACATTTTTCTAATTTGGGGAGGGGAAGGGAAATAACAAAATGCTGAAACTAGGACACAGGTTGCCCCATTGTAACAATGAGGCGTACAAGACACTGTTTTAAAAACGAACTTTACAACTTGGGGAGAGAAGGGATAGTAGGGGAAAAACAAAGGAGGGGCTAACAATGCTCGATAGGAATTGTACTCATTACCTTACTCATGTAATTGTAACCCTGTATAGAGTATCTTTACAATAAAAAAAAAAAAAAGATTTTTTTTCTGTCAGTCATTGGGCTTGAACTCAGGGCCTGTGTGCTATTTCTGAGCTTTCTCGTGCAAAGCTAGCGAATCTATACTAGAAATAAGATAGAAGAATTTGAAGAATCTATCCTAGACATAGATAGATGATTTTTTTTTTTTTGGTCAGTCGTGGGGCTTGAACTCTGGGTTTGGGCACTGTCCCTCAGCTCTTCAGCTCAAAGCGAGCGCTCTACCACTTGAGCCACAACGCCACTTCTGCTTTTCTAGTGGTTTATTGGAGATAAGAGTCATTGAACCATGATCCTCAGATCTCAGCCTCCTGAGTAGCTAGGATTACAGGCGTGAGCCACCGGCGCCCGGCATAGATAAATACTTTTTTAAGCTTTTTTTTTTTCTTTTGTCAGTCATTGGGCTTGTGTGCTATACCTGAGCTTTTTTTGCTCAAAGCTAACACTTTACCACTTTGAACCACAACAACCCTTTCTACCCTAGACATATATTTAGAAATGCTTTGCCTCAAATTTACTTGCTGTAGCCTTTCCTTTATCAAAACAACACTGGGATATTAAAATCTCAGTTGCCAACAGTGTGTTCCCTGCTGTTATGTATATCCTTACCACTAGCACAAAATCCAACATACACAGGGACCCAAAAGTATTTATGAGTTTAAAGAAGAAAGAAAATGCTCATATAAGAAATACAGTTCTAGGGGCTGGGAAGGTGGCTCAGTGGTAGAGCGCTTGCCTTGCATGCCCTGAGGCCCTGGGTTCGATTCCTCAGCACCACATAAGCAAAAAGAAAAAAGCCGGAAGTGGCACGGTGGCTCCAGTGGTAGAGCGCTAGCCTTGAGCTGAAGAGCCGAGGGACAGCGCCCAGGCCGAGTTCAGGCCCCACGACTGGACCCAAAAAAATAAAATAAAATCCTATTTTAAAACAACTGCGTATTTAAAGACAGAAAACAATTGTATATAGAATGTTGTCTGTGTTGTGTGAGTTCTGAAAGACAGGATTAAAGGTGATTTTCTGTATTTTCTTGATACTCTCAGTCGTGGAGCACATATTTGTTGGTGTGACAGGCAATTAAGCATGTTTCTCAAGGGCAGGACAACTAAGAAAGTAATGAGGAGAAACATTACAGACTGTTCTTTACATTAGTGAGCTTGTTACTCATATTCTCAAAAGAAATTATAACAATGATGACTTGGAAGTAATGATAGTTACAATTTCTAAGACACTGTTTTAGGACAAGAAAGGGATGATCACAAGAAAGATCTAAATTTCATACAGCTTGACTTGCCTGCCACAGTTCCACTTCCAGCTTTTTGGTGGTGAACTGGAGATAAGAGTCTCAAGAACTTTTACTACCTGACTTTGAACCTCAATCCTCAGATATCAGCCTCCTGAGTAGCTAGGATTCTAAGAGTGAGTTACTAGCAACCAGTTCCCCTCCCCTTCTAAAAACAACTTTAACAGGTTTCAAAGTTTTGCTTTTGCCTTTTCTCTTGAAAGAAAGAGCATCTCTATTGGCTGAATGTGACCCTCATAACTCCCTTCACCCATAAAGTATGGGAAAATGTCAGTAATGGGTCTTAAGTGGGTATGTTTTGTGTTATTTCGTTTTAAATGAAGTCCTGAGTAAATTGAAAGAATTACAGAGATGTGTTTAGAGACTTAACCACAGTTAATGAGCTTGCCTCTCATTCACAATCCGGCCATGCTTCCGTGGCTGCTAATCCACACATACCCCAGCCTTTGCACGAAACATGAGCTCCCTGGCCTTTTACCTGCTTCCCACATGGACAAAGTCACGTGCATCTTGGTTAAGTTAAACAGACTACAGTCTGCTGCTACTCCAGCCTCAGGACATATTTATGAGCCTCCTTCCCTGTCCACTGTCTCCTTTGTAGGCTGCTGAGAGCCACTCCCTCCCTAGTGAAGGCTAGCCTTATCTGATTTTTGGTGAGGCTGCTATGTTAGCTGTAATGTGTTTAAAAGGAGCCCGAGGCTTTCTCTTCGCTTGAGAAATTCAGCTCTTAGGAACATCAAGTGGAGTATGACTGTTCAGCTTCTTTTTCCACCAGTGCATTTGGAATTCTCCTTCACTTCTCAGGTGCATTTTCCTGCATCACATTTCCAGGTGGAATTACAGGATCACCTCTTCTCTTCCATTGCTCCCAGCACCCCTGTCTCCCTCCCCAAAGTGTTTGGAATGTTCTAGCTCTTTGTCTCACAATCATCCTCATGTAATGGTCAGTGTCTGTCCCGTGTCTTTGCCTCTCTAGTCATGGTGTCTGAGCTTCATTTACACTTTGCGGTCTGTGTTATACTCCCTGATTATATAGCAAGCAGAGGAAATTCTGCTTCCAGCTCAGTTGAACCTTAAGCTGGTAGCTGCCATTCCAGCCTACATTAAGAAAGCTATTGCGCCCCCAAATCTCGAGGGCAATGTACTCTCTCCTCATATCTCTTTTGCAGTAAGACCTTCATCTCTACTAACTGGCTTTTTTTTTTTCATAATACCTACTTAGCCCCTTTGATATGGAACTGCACTCCCTACCCCAAGTTAAGATCCTCTTTCCAGTGCTCTCTGGTTGGCTGAACAGGGAGAAGCCAATGTCTTAGTGTTTTCTTATTCTTGGGAAAGAAAAAGTAGTGACACAATTAAAAATTGGTCTCCAAAGCCAAAAATTATTTCAAAACATCACTTATGTCTTCTGCCTGCACAAATGATAGCCTGTCCTTGACAAAGTCAAGGCCAGAGATTGGGCCCTGGAACTTAGTCTGTTTATACAAGTCCATTATTGTTTTGATTTCCATTTTCCTGAGGAAATCATTGTAAACAGTAAAGTTCTCAGAAGCACTCCTGCAGTCATAAACATAAACACAGCATTGCACTGCAGTAAATCCCTAATGTAACCTCTGCACTAGACGTGAAACAGATCAGTAAGTGGCCCATCTATTGGTGAAGGTGATGCAGTCAGGAATCTGGTCTCAACTCTTGCCCCATCCTTCCCTGCTGTGAGCTGGGAAGCTGCTCACCCGTCCCCTCCCCACTGTCCAATGTGGAGGCAGAGCCACACCACCTGTTGTGCTTTGCAGGCTGTCCTGTGGAGAGAGACTGACAGTGCTGAGCGCTCCAGGAGAAATGTAAATCAAGGCATTTCTGCGCTCTTGTTCAGGAGTTATAATCCATTCTCAAAGGCTCAAAAAACCAGGCCTCCTTTAGCAATACTGCTGTGATCAAACTACAACTCACATTTTTTCAGAAACTGTTGCCATTGTCTGTTCTGGAAAAAGGAATACATTTCCAAAGCACCAAAGTAGCCATGGGAAGAGCTGTGACTAATGTTACCATTGGCACCAAGTAGTGACTTGGCACAAATCATGAAAAGGTAAAGCAGAACACAGCCCACCAAGCCTTGGGTAAGAGGCCGTCTCCCTCTCTTGCGTGGCTTTGAAAGAAACAAGACTGAATAACACAGAGCTATGGAATTCTTGTATAGGTGACTGTTCTTCCTAGGCCAGTATGGGCTTTTCTGTTTCAGATGATGATGGTGGTGATCCTAGCTCTTACACAAGTCTTCCAGTGAGCCCATCCCCATATTATTTATACATACCATCTGAGGCTCCCTGGTAGGCAGATGCCGCCATCATCACCATTTTATAAATGAGTAAATCAAGATACAGAGAGGTGAAAGAGGGCAGGAGGTGAACAGCTGCCAAATGGTGGAACCCATGGGTTCTATCTATGAGCCTGTGTGGACTGGCGGCAAGTAGTTAGGGCCTATTGCCTGTGGATCACAAGGAAACAATGTAGCCAGAAAATCTAGGTTTGGTGGCTCATATGTGTAATCACAGCAACTCACCTAAAAATCTTAGCACATAGGAGGCTGAGGCAGGAGCATCATAGGTTAAAGGCTAACGTGGGCTACCTGTCTAGACCTTATCTCAAAAAAAAAAACTAAAACTAAATAAAATTCAGTGCAGTGGCTGCTATCTTCTAGGAAGAGAATGGAGACTACACATATGTGGAAAGAGTGAAGATACCTTTGGATCACGGGACCCTGTTAATCATGGAAGGAGCCACACAAGCTGACTGGCAGGTAGTGATGGATAGGTAGATGCCGGTAATACAGATTCTCTCTGGAGGCACTTTCTTGGCTGATGGAGAAGTTTTGTTTTTGTTTTTTTGGGTTTTTTGTCGGTTATGGGGGTTGAACTCTGCTTGGGCACTGTCCCTCAGCTCTTTAGCTCAAGGCAAGCTCGCTACCGCTTCAGCCACAACACCACTTCCGGTTTATTGGGGATAAGAGTCTCTCAGACTTTCCTGCCCAGGCTGGCTTTGAACAGTGATCCTCAGATCTCAACCTCCTGAGTAGCTAGGATTACAGGTGTGAGCCACTGGCATCTGGCCTAATGGAGAAGTATTTATTTCTAAGTAAATATGATAAAAAGCAAGTTGTGAGGTGTACCCGTGGCTCATGCCTATAATCCTAGTTACTCAGGAGGCTGAGATCTGAGAATCACTGCTTGAAGCCAACCTTGAGCAGGAAAGTCAGTGTCTTATTTCCAAAAACCGGAAGTAGAACTGTGGCTAAAAGTGATAGAGCACTAGCCTTGAGCAAAAGAACTCAGGGACAGTGCCCAGGCCCTATGTTCGAGCCCTATGACCGACAAGAAAAAGCAGGTTGCTCTATAATAAGCCAAGAGGCAGTAAATTGGCATCTCCAAGGAGTCTGGGAATCACTGGCAGTAAGAATAGACAACTTATCACTTAATCACAATTAAAAAAAAAAAAAAGAACCTCAGGGAAGGTAGGGAGGGAAGGGTTGGTAGGGGGAAAACAATGGAGGGGGTAACTGCTCAATAGGAAGTGTACTCATTACCTTGCTCATGTAACTGTAACCCTCTATATAGTATCTTTACAATAAAAAATTAAAATAAAAAAATCACATCTGCTGTTCACAAGCATCTTTATAGTGGAAAAAAAAAGAATAGACAACTTGAGCAGCAATATCTAGTGTATATTTTTTTTGGTGTCGGTACTGGGGCTTGAACTCAGAGCCTGGGCACTGTCCTGAAGGTTGTTCACTTAAGGCTAGCCACTCTTCCACTTGAGCCATACCTCCACTTCCAGATTTTTTTTTTTTTTTTTGCTGGTTAATTGGAGATGAGTCTCAATCTCTGACACTTTTCCTGCCCAGGCTGGCTTTGAACCATATCCTCAGATCTCAGTCTCCTGAATAGCTAGGATTGTAAGCATGAGCCACTAGAGCCTGACTGATGATAGTGTTCTATATCCAAGCTGGCGCCATCAGTAACCACTAGCTCCCTGTGAACATTAACTACTTGACTGTGACTATGCGCTGAAGAACCGTTTTAGTTCATTTAAATTCCAGTCCGTTCAGGTGGCTAGTGGTTAACACTTTGCTCCTCTCAACTCCTCAGTGAGGCCAGGCCATTTTTAGGCCAAATCTTTTTTAAGGTATGCATATTATGGTATAAACTCTTAACACGAGAGTCAAGTCCCATGCCTCTCTTTGGCCTCGTCCATTTGTGTTTTTCTTATGAGATTTGGAAAAGCAGCATAGGAGGCTGAGAGGAGCCGCAGTTAGAGAGACAAGAGCGCCTGGCTGCCAGGGTGCTGGCGCGGGCGCAGGGTGCTCAGCTGGAGATGTGCTTCAGAGGAGGAGAATGTTTCCAGAAGACATCAGAGAGCTGAAACACTGCTCATTTTGACAGGGGTAAAATGGAAATGTGTCCAGATCCTCATAAATAAGTCGTAAATTGCTTCCGACTAAAAAATGTGTGTGTTTATGTCAGTTATTTATATTTCCATTTAGCATCGTGTGCCCAAGGAATACCACTCCAGAGAACCGAGAGTAAACCTGACCTTTCGGACCATTTATCCAGACCCGAGAGGGGCACCCCAGTGATGGGAGGTCTTCACAGAAGCCTCTGAGCAAGGCCCACGCAGCCCCTCTGCTGGAGACTCTCCAAGAAGATGGTGGCCTTTGCTTCCCAGCTCCGAGTCTTAAGGAGAACCAGCAGTTCACGTTGGTAATATGTCAGCTGTGGGAAGTTATTCTAAAGCACATCTCAAAATCAAGCATTATCTTCAGCCACATTAAAAACAGCTCTAGCTGTGCTTATAGACAATTTGCTCTACCAATTTATTTATCTTCTTCCCTTCCCTCCCTCCCCTACCCGCCCCCCTACTGCCTTGCACTTGAAGAAACCCGAATGGCCTTGTGCCTCTGGGAAAGGTCCGCACGTGTTTGTGTCTTGTGACGTTAGCAAAGTGGAGATATAAATATGCGTCAGTGACTCTGGAGCCTTCTGTAGGCAGACAGCTGCTGAAACCCAAACAGAGGTGGCTTCATGGGGCTTTGTGGAAGTTTGTCTTGACTCCTTAATATCTTGGCTCGTGGGCTTTGGTAATGGAAAGCTGCATGCTCGGGGGCGGGAGGGGAAACACTGTTTAACTGAGTCTCCCTGCCCATCTGTCTTCCTGAGACACACTCAGGCTACAGGCCTTCACACAGAGGGAAAGCTGCATGCTCTGCTCTACACTCAGGCAGATACCTAGGACCCTTTGTAATGCAAGAGAAACCCTGCACTCTGAAGGAAGGAATAACCAAAGGTGTCATGAGAAGTAACAAGCTGAAATTTTGGCTGAAGAGCAGCAAAAGTCCCCGTTTAGTGACAGCCGGTCCACATAGATTAGTTTCCCCTAGAGAATGACGTGAGTCATTTAACCCCGGCCAGATAGAAGCTGGAGTGATTGTGCAGGGAATAGACTTGATGACCTCATGCTCTGCTTACCTGAGACTTCAGACGCCCTCTGACTAAGGCTCTCTCTGACTGACTCACTGCTTTCTTATGCAAGAGCTCCTGAAGTTCAAGGGTTAGTATGTGATGTCACCCAGGTTCCCAAAACAAAACACTGTGGCTGCACCTTGTGGCATCATGAAAGCACGAGTCTCCTTGACCTTTAACTCAAGAGCAGGATGCCAGATAAACTCCCAACCAAAGAAAGGAAAACCTGAAAGACAATATAAATGGATGCAAGTAGGACACAAGCGTTAGAGTTTCTCTCTTGGCCTGAGGGGGGAAATTGACAGTAGTACCTTCTTGGGTTTTAGCCTGTTTCCATCCATGCTGTCAGAATGACGATCCTCATCATCTCTGGCACCTTGCATTGAGGTCTCTATCTTTTTAAAGCATATATAGGGCTGGGAAGGTGGCTCAGTGGTAGAGTGCTTGCCTTGTATGCTTGAGGCCCTGCCTGGGTTCGATTCCTCAGCACCACATAAGCAGGAAAAAAAAAGCCGGAAGTGGCGCTGTGGCTCAAGTGGTAGAGTGCTAGCCTTGAGCTGAGCTGAAGAGCTGAGGAACAGCGCCCAGGCCCAGAGTTCAGGCCCCATGACCAGACCCAAAAAAAATAAAATAAAGTATATATAACTCCTTCCTGCCAGAAACACTAAATGCTGTATACAATTTGAACATCGTTATTAAGCCTTCCTGGAAGGTACAAATCACTATAAACATAAAATAAACCTCTTAATTCCTAGGTGTTCTCCTATTACAGCCAACAAAACCTGGCTGGGGTAGTACAGCCAGCTTTGGCTAGGAGTTGGATGCCTGACACAGAAATCCCCCCTCTGTTCCTTGTACGTGAAGAGATCAGCAAGCAAATGGCTCCAGGTCTCCCAGGACCCTCCCCTCCCCTCCTCTAATGTAGGGCTACCACCTTCCTTTGCTCACCTGTGCATTGGATCTCTCTATTCCTTACACCCCTGTCTGTCAGGAAAATATTTCTTCTTTCCAGCCAATAGGCTGGGTCAACACCCAGGTTTCAGTCAGAGTGCTGCAAATCTTCCCCATTACTCCAGACTCCATATGCCACAGCTGCCATTGATTTCCACACCTGAGAAAATGTCCCTTCTACAGTGTCAGCTAGGTACTTGCGATGTTTAGGAATGGATGGGAATTCCAGCGCGTGATCAAGGACAGCCCTGTTCAATGACTACATCAGCCTGTTGCCGTTTAACTGCTGATAGGTCTTACCTGGGAACTGGGGTGAAGTTACTTTTGCTAACCTTACAGGCAGAGTAGAGGAAGCGATGTAACAGCTGCAGCATCAAGAATAGGTTACTTTTTTTTTAAGCTTCCTTTTATTTGGGGGGTGGGGTGGGGAGTAAGCTTCAGCAAACTGCTAGCATTGTCCTGGGAGCCATTATACAGAATCCCTAGTTCCCCACCCCCACCCCAGTGTTCCAAGGACAGGATACTATCCTGTCCAAGGAAGCTGAGTCTCCAAGAGCTTAGTTAAGTAGTTGGATAGGAGTAGTAGTGGCAGAGCAGATTTCAAACCATTGGTGAATCCCTGAAACCTGGTGCTTCTTGCTCTGCCTTGCTGCGTGGAGTCCTCTGACAGCACCCCTGAGAGCCTGAACCCTAAGCTTTGCTCCAGCAGACACCAGTAGATCACCTATTGGTCCCCTTCTTTCTTGCGCATCAGGGCAGGTGTCTGCATCTCATTTTCCCTTAACCAGCTCAAGCATGAGTTTCTTGTGAGAAGCTCTGCTGCCCACTGGCCCAGCCATTTAACTGAGAAGGTTACTTGAAGGAGACAGAATTTCATGTCAGGTGAATTTAGAAATATTCACCGTGGGCAGGGAATATGCCTTAGTGGTAGAATGCTAGATTAGCATGCATGAAGCCCTGGGTTCAATTCCTCATTAAAAAAAAAAAAAAAAGCCAGACCTTGCACTGTGGCCCAAATGGTAGAGTTTTACTCTTGAGCACAGAGAAGACCAGGGACAGAACCCAGGCCCTGACCTGAGTTCAGACCCCAGGACTGGCAAAAAAAAAAAAAAATCACCAACCTTCCCAGTAGCTGTAAATATACTTGGAGGCTTCCACAGGAAGGAGGAGTTTTCCCCATGACCCCTTCCCTCAGTCTTCGCTGTGAGTACCTTTGGGGATATCAGATTGTATTCCCAGCATTGAAATCAGGGTCTACTTGACTCACATTAACTGTGAGTCAAGCTGCTGGTGATCCATAATGATTCTGGGTCCCAGATTCTTGGGACTCCAGATCCGTGAAGCCTCCATAGCTTTCTAACACGGAGCCTGTGCACCCAGTCACCGGCACCAGATCCTGGGTCCATGTCACAGCAACCCAGAAAGAGTTAGGCCAGCAGTGAGCAGAATGCTCCTGTTGGAGGATTTCAGAGAAAATCCTGACAAAATGATGCATTCCTGCTCTGCTGAGAATATTTCTTCTTGAGTTCTGGCAGCTTTTTCCTGGCTGCAGAATATCTAAGGCCCACTTTGCCTTTTCTGGTCATAAACACTTGGGGTGTTGAATCTGAAGTCTTGATTATTTTGCTTAACGGTGCCTTTGAAAAAAGCTTGAGTGTTTCCATAGTGATGCATTCTGTTTGTTTAAATCTCTGTACTTATACATGATTCCACCCACACACTCCCTTCCCAGGGACTAGTATACAATTGCCCTTTCCCCTTGGGGCTTTGCTCATGAGAAGAGATCCACATGTGATAGACACCCTGTCTACTGCCTGCTGCTGGAATCTCTCCTTCCATAAGATTCCTGTGTCTAGGGTCAATAGGCAAATGACTCTGATGTTTGTTTATTAGAGTGGAACACTAGCTAATGGTGCCTTTCCCAGCTGGTTGAGTAGTCCTGCGCCTTCTGCTATAACAGCCTTCCCCAGCCTGTGACTGGAGCTCCCCGCTGGGCCGGGCTGGGCTGTCAGTGCTAAAGCTGAGGCGGGGCAGGGTCAGAGATCAGCACCAGAAACCGCTGGAAAATCCAGGAGCCCAGCACCCCCACCCCCGCCCCCCGGAAGTCTTCCCCAGCACCCCGCGCGCGCGCACGCGCGTGTGTGTGTGTGTGTGAGTGATAGGGTCGCGAGGATGGTTTCTGTGGCCTCACTCCCCCTCTTGGGAGCCTGATGTCACTGTCAGCACAGGGACGCTGGTCCTCCTCTGGCCTTCGGGAGGATGATGTGTCACCGCTCTGGCAGAGCCACACTGCTGGATCCCGATTCTCCCCCAAAGCCAACATACGGGGAAACTGAGGCACCAGAAGGAGTTATCAGATGGCAGGCCCCAGGCTCAGCGGCCGGCCAGCCTTGCCAGCGGGCGTTGTTAGGGTCCGGGCCTCGAGTTCCCCCGCGTCCCGCCCGGGCCCGCCGGGCCTGCCGCGGGCTGAGCTTTCCCCGGCCTCTTCCCGGAAAGCAGCGCGGGCCCGCGCGGGGCAGGAAGCGGGAGGAAGTGGTGGGCCGCGCGCGCACGCGCACGGGAGGCCGCGTGAATTAGCCACCCCCGCAGGAAGGGCGTGGGCGCGCGCAGTGACGCCGACGGCCGGCCCGCCCACCTGCCGCGCGCTGCGCCCGCCTTCCCCGCCCCCGGGGCCGACCGTCCCGGACCCCCGGCGGAGCCCCGCGGGGGAGGCGGGACAGGGGCCGGGGGCGCACACCGAAGCGGCCTCCCCTGGGGGACTTCGGGCGGGCCTCACGCGTGCCACGTGCTCAGAAATACAGTTCCTTTGCGTGGCGCCGTTCCCACGCCCGCCGGGTGGGCGCAGGAGCTGGGCCCACCCCCCCCTCCTGGAGAGGCTCCCAGATGCCTGCCTGGCTCCCTGGCCAGCTCAGCTTGCGCCTGGGAGCCAGGCCGCATGGTCCCCAGGTAATCGCTCTCCTAAGGCACCATCCCTGGCGGAATCCAGGATTCCAAGCCCTGCAAACAGGTCACCCCCCCCCCCCCCCCGACCAGGCACAGAGGCAGCCCCCGCCAGTCATATTGTTTGTTTGTGCTTGCTGGCCATTTCTAAACCCTGTACAGAACACGCTGGCCTGGAAGATTAAACAAGATTGTCAGGCTGGAATTCAGTTCAAGACCGAAGCTTTTATGTCTAGAGATTGTGTGTCAGAGGTAGTGGGGGACAGATAAAAGAAAGACACAATCCCTCCCCTTGCAGGATGGCATTAAACCAGCGTGGCTTTTATATTCTTTTGCAAAATTAGTTCTCCTTACCACAAAAGGAGTATGTGTTCTTTGCAAGAAATTACAAAGATAAAAAGGAAAAATCATTTTGTAACTTCATAAGCCTTAGATGACAAGCTT